ACGCACAGCAATCCATAGCTTTGAAGTCTCATTCGTGCTTTGAACTTATGTAGGTGTATAAGAGGTATAGCAACATAGTATTTATACGGACTCAGGCTAGCTTCAGAAGAGCACTCCGATACTTCACTTACAACACTCCTTGAAGAGCATGAGTCGCTTGCGCATAGCCACCAGAAACAAAGGAGCTTAATCTTACTAGAAATGGAATGAAACACCAGGACCTTCAGAATGACCTCTTTAGAGTCTCCAAGTGATCTCATTCGGGACTAAGTGACCTCATTCTGGGATCTCGGACGGTCACTTTAAAGGTCCTGGTAGACACCAAATAATGTCAATGTGGATAGATTTGGCTACGGCCTAAAACATCGGATTCCATCCAAACCCTCCCCCTATGCAGAGGAAAAATCCGAGCAAAATGACACCGAACCCCTCAATTGCCAGGAAGCGCAGGTTTTTGTTTTGACATGGTTACCTCTGTGTGGGTAGAACAAGACATGAAGCAGATTTGACACGCGGCCGCAAACAGCTACGCGAACTCATTCGCTTGCTTCGACGCGCAGTTGTCGAGAAAGGAAAACATAATAAAATAAGCAAAGAAAATACAAATAAAAAACAGGAAAAAGAAGAAACAAAACAAAACAAGAAAAAAGAAAAACAAAGAAGAAGAAGAAGAAAAAGAAGAAGAAGAAGAAGGAAAAAACAAAGAAGAAGAAGAAGAAGGAAAAACAAAGAAGAAGAAGAAGAAGAAGACAAAGATGAAAACAAAAATAAAGATAAAGACAAAGAAAAAGACAAAGAAAAAGAAAAATACACAGAAAAAGAAATAGAAAAAGACAAAGATAAAGAAACAAAAACAGAAAAAGAAAAAGAACAAGAAAAAGAACAAGAAAAAGAAACGAAAAACAAAAGAAAAATAAAAGAAAAAGAAAAGAACAAGAACAGAAAAAGAAAAAGAAGAAAAAGAAGAAAAATAAGAAAAAGAAGAAAAAGAAGAAAAAGAAAAAGAAGAAGAAAAAGAAGAAAAAGAAAAAGAAGAAGAAAAAGAAAAAGAAGAAGAAAAAGAGAAAAAAAAGAAGAAAAAGAGAAAAAACGAAGAAAAAGAAGCACAATAAGAAAAATAAGAAAAAGACGAAATAGACAAAGATAAAGACAAAGACAAAGAAAAAGAAAAAGACACAGAAAAAGAAACAGAAAAAGACAAAGATAAAGAAACAGAAAAAGAAAAAGAACAAGAAAAAGACCAAGAAAAAGAAAAAAGAAAAGAAAAAGAAAAGAAAAAGAAAAAGAAACAGAAAAAGACAAAGACAAAGATAAAGACAAAGACAAAGAAAAATACAAAGACAAAGACAAAGAAAAAGAAACAGAAACAGAAACAAAAC